CCCGCGGGCCTTGAGTTTGACACATGTGCCTCTCAAAATGTGTTTATATCCACGTTTTCAATTTCGGGTTTTCGCCCCGCTGTTACCATAGCAACAGCAGCGCGTCACGCGCAGGACTCGCTTCCGGTTTCCTGTGAGGACAAAGGGGCTTCATGGAGAAACTGAAAACTCTCGCACACTGACACGCAGAGCAGCCGTGGGCTTCGAGCATGACTTTCTGCTAACCGTGTCCCCCCCGCTTTAAGAGAACTGTCCGTCGCTGCTGCAAACAGCGCTCGTGACCGCACACCGCGCGGAGGGAGGGGGGGGCTGCAGCCAGGCGTTCTTCAGTCAAAATGGCGGCAGCTYTAATCCACCTGTGATCACTCCAGTTCAGCTGCGTTCAGCAGCCCGCTCCCGGTTAGCAGCGTTTGGGTTTCACTCGGTCGGGCCGTCGGAGCCCGGCGCGCGCGGTCATGTCGGACTCGGAGGAGGACAGCCAGGACAAGCAGCTGAAGCTCGTGGTGGTTGGAGACGGAGCGTGTGGGAAGGTGAGACCCGCCGCAGACAAACTCGTATCAAAAACTCAACCAGAATTAGAGACGAGGGGAGGCTTTCTGCTGGCTTATTTAATGTCCAACAGCGTGTTTCGCTTTTAAAACTTCTCCAAGCATCCAGCTCTTCCTGCTGACGCTGCTGGTCACCATGGCGACCGACGCTAACGTAGCTAATGTAGCTAACACAGCACAGCTAACAACAACAACACCACGATAAACAGCTTCGTCAATTGTTTACTGTTTTATTTAAGTCTATTTAACCACTGGTTGTGTTCCAAAACGAGATAAATAATTGCGTTTGTGCAATTGGTGAAACCCAGAGTTGTAAAGTAACTAAGTACAAATACTTTGTTACTAGGATTTTTGGGTATCTGTTTTTTACTTGAGTAATTATTTTTCAGCCTACTTTTTACTTCTACTCCTTACATTGTCACACAATTATCTGTACTTTCTACTCATTACATTTTTTAAAAAAAGGCAAGAAGTAGAAAGTTGTTAATTTTATTTCATTTTTGTTTGTTTTCATTCCAGCTTGTTATTATAATAAATAAATACTATCCATATAAATTGTTCCTCCTAGACAGAGTGAATTTAATTGTGGTTGAATGAGAAGTATAAATATATAAAATTCTGATACCGTATTAGTTTGTACACAAATCATGTCACACTCCAGCAGGACATAATCATTAAAATAAAAGGACTGTACTTAAGAAATATTTGTATTTCATGAATTATATTATTGCATTTGTCCGCAGCCCTCAGATAGATTTTTGTTTTGGAGAAAAGGTTTGGGCAGCCTTGATGTACGTATATAAACTGAAACAGCTAGACTAGTGCATCCTAAATTTATAAATTAAACATTATTTTAATACGATATAGTCATTTCTGCATTTTTTGGGGGAGGTCACCTCCTAATAAATGTCATTACAGAAAATCTAACTGCTCATTTTAAATCAATACTTTAGTACAAAAAATATCAGGTACTTTAATACTTTAACTCAAGTAATATTCACAAAGGAGACTTTAACTTTTACCAAAGTAACTTTTTGGAAAGATACTTGTACTTTTACTCAAGTATCACTTTGTGGTACTTTATACAACATTGGTGAAATCTGCATAGTTTCAAATGATCAATCAACAAATACATTTTGAAATTATCCATTAAATACAGTTCAGAAATCAAGATGATATCTTCACATATGTACATAAAAGCATATGGCAATTAAGCAAAAAGTAAAGGAGTTTGTGTTTGGTTGGTTTATAAATTTAGGCAATGCGTTTGGTAGATTATTTTTTTGTTGTTACAATGCTTAAAAATAATAAATACATTTTATACAGTTGGAAAGCCTGTTAATTTCATTGTTAATTTTCTGTATTTAATGGTGCCACATTTGTAAGGAACATGCATTTGTGGGATGTGAAGTAGTTTGTGTGTGTGTGCCATAAATGGTAAATGGTAAATGGTACTGAACTTATAGAGCGCTTTTCAAGTCCCTCCGGACCCCCAAAGCGCTTTAC